GATATAAAGAAAATTCCAATTCGAAATCTCTTGCTTCCTCTCTTTTTGTTTGTGCTGTCTAATTTTGACCAAATTTATCAATGCAATGGCAATGTTGGAAATATAATTTTATGCTTGGTTGTAACATCATAATGCTGAATAATCAGCTAACTTCTTCCATTTCAGCATCTTAAACTAGCTAGTTTTTAGCTATACTGAAATTCGCTAGTTGATGATTATTATCAGGCTGTCTTGAGACATGGATTTGAAAGGAAATAGAACTCGATTTATATAGTAGGTAACTTAGAAATTTCCTTATAATTGCTTGTTATTCCTTATTTTTTCTTCTTTTTAATCAAAATATAAGCTATTTATACATCTAAGTTATGTTGGACTTCGTGAACACTAATCTCATAGGGGTGGCCTACTTAATGAAACATTTTGAAGTCATTACTCATGAAATGGCTTCAACCCCGCATGGTTCATTTAAAAATCATTATAGACTATAGTAGCAACACTTAGCTAGGCATTTTGCAGAAAAGCACTACAATTTTATTCATAGTGATAAACTCAAAATTTATGAAGCTCTCGTTAAAATATTTCACAAGAGTAGAAAGTATTTATTAGTTGACCGATCATAATTAGTTGGACGAGTAAGAATAGGGGGAGTATTAGTTGATGAATGAGATGTTTCTTATTGTGACTTAGTAGGAGAATGATAAGAATCAAATGAAATCTTTTTTCTACAGAAAAAAGGATGTATATATTATCACTAAATACTTAAGTATGTAGCTAAGTAAAATAATGAGTTTTATATAAAATTGGGCAATGTACTTCATATATGTTTTTTTTAAAGTATCTAAGTAATTCAAATATATTTTTTTTAATGTGCCGTACCTAGATAAGCACTGCTTCTGTAACATAATTTTAATTGTTGAAATCATAAGCAAGCATTTTTTTTTTTTCTTTGTGAAGTATCTAACTAGGTACTTCGCATATATGACTATTTTTCATAAGTACCTTACTACGTACTATCGCTAAATTTTAAAGGTTAAAATCACGACTAAACTGATTTTTTTATGTTAATACATTACTTTTTGGTGATGTTGCTAGTTATGGATATCTTAATGGAGTTTTAATGGCTAAAATCCTAAATAAATATTTTTTTCTATTAATTAGGTACTTAACATACCTAGCTAGGTACTTCATATGTATGCTTTTTTATGAAGTACCTTACTAGGTACAACTATTATAATAAAATTTTATTGTTTGAAATCACAAATAAACTTCTTATTTGTTCACTTTTTTTTTTTGTGTAGTACCCAGTTAGTTGTTGCTGCTATAATGGAATTTTAATGGTTAAACCACAAGTAAACAGCTAGGCTCTCTCTCTCTCTCTCTCTCTCTCTCTCTCTCTCTCTCTCTCTCACACACACACACACACACATATTGGAAATACATAATTATTTAATTCAACATTATTTCATATTTCTCAAATAAACCTTGAGTACACAATGATATGCATTTTTTTAGCACAAATATCTAGCAATTTACTTCAATTAATATAAATTATTCCATAATATCGTATATGGAAGCTTTGTTTTAATATGCATTTTTATTAAACCGGGCGGGTAGTTAACCGATATATGGATGTGAAACATAAGTGTTTAACTTATACTATTACACATAAAATAATGTTTTAAGTTGAAACCAAAAATATTAAGCATGTAAATATTCCCACAAGAAAGAGATTGTTCAAAGCACCATACACCAATTAGCTTGAACTATTTAAATAGTAAAATACGCTCGAGCTACTAGAGAATGTTTTAAATATTTATAGAACTGGTCGTGGAGAAGTATGCAAAAGAGCATTGGATGAATGCAAATTACTTTGCAAAATAATCATGAGTCGCTATATAAATAGTCTTCTTTAAAACTTAATCCACTTATTACTAATGGCAGAACATAAAAGTCACATAAAGCTGCCTATTGATATTGGGTTATTTGATTAGTTTGGGGTTTTAGTTAAAAAAATGAATTTTTATTCATTTACACATGCAAGCTCGTTATTAGTCATCATATATAGAGCTACATCCAGCCACCAAATAGAATAATTTCTCTCACACTTAGAATAAAAGAGATCACATACTTTTCTTAAAAAAAAATTATTTCTTCATCAATCATCCAATGATCCAAATGTAGTAAGGACTTAATTTATATATGTCTTAGGTGATTGATAAAATAATAAATTATGGATTAAAACTTAATTTTTAAAATTAAGGATTTGCTACCGTATGTTAAACTACTTTAGAATGGCTCTCAACTCATTGTATGTAGTTCAAAGGCGCTTTATCCAATGCAGAGGATGGCAAATTAAAATATGGCTTATGATGTTTTTTGGCTCATCTTACAATGGTTACAATGAATAACATTGCATGGATCATACCTTTGTTCCAAGCATTGGCGACTGGTTTTCTTCATGTTAGATGTGATTCTATGTCTTAAATAATCGATGGAACCAAATATATTTTTTTGTGTATTCTATCATACATGTGATTCCATCAGCTATCCATAAATATAGATTTTTTAAAGAAAATTATGAATTTATATGCCTCATAATATGTTTATTTGAAAAAAATATCCACGTTTGTTTTCTCAGGGAAATATACATGAAATTTTATTTTGGGCTAAATTACCATCTAAAAAGAGAGAATTCTTGTATTCGCTGATTACATTTTGAAGTTGAATTATTTGAAATGTGTTTGAACATATTCAAATGCTAACCTAGTTCGGTCTAGTTTGAACCCGTGTTTGAAATTTGTTCGAACGTTGTTGGAGAGTCGTGAACCTGATAGTAAACACTTGAAGTTATCAAGTATCCCTATCAATCTTTGATAAAACCGCAAAAACTTTCCTCCAACTCCAATGAAAAATAGGGTAAACAATAATTTTATTGCAAGAATCAAATAGAACGAAAGAAAATATCAAGATATAGTTGATCCTCAATTCGAAAGGAGAATCTACCTCTCCCAAATCTCTAGATGCCGCTAGAGCCAAAAAATCTAAGAGATCTCAAATTTCAGCCAAATTCAAGATAAACCTAACCTTAGTAAGACAAGGCTAATTAAAACAAAAGGACAAATATTTAATCCCTAAACAACCCCTAATAGAACCGGTCGAGTATGGATCGGTTCAGTTTGTTCAACTAGCCCCCCTTGGGCCGGTCCAACAGAACCCCTCTCCTTATGCATTGTGTTCCTGTCATTGGCTTTCCCATCGAGCTATGGTCACTAACTGCTCTTTTCCTTCAAATGCCATCAAACCTATCGATTCTTTCCCCTAGTCTCCCGTCATGAACACCTCTTCGCACGCCATCAGTCCAATGACACCTTCCCCTAGTGAAATCCTGCCGTGAACACCTCTCCTTCACACATTGTTGATTTTGTCAATACCTTCCCCTAGCAAGCTCCCGTCATGAGCATTTATTCTCCTAAATACATTGTTGGTCACATCACACGCTGTCGCTCTCATTGTGGTCATCCCCATGTGATTTCCCATCTATTCTTCCCTCATCATAAACAACAGCATGTTTGTTTCCAGGTTCAATCTCAGGTTTGAACCCTAGTTCAAACCAAGTTTGAACATGGGTTTAAATTTGAACATATTTGAACCCATTTCGGATGCTTTGATTTCAAATATTAATCTGCAAATACTAGAGGTTATCACTCAATGGGGACAATTTGATCCGTAGTAGAATTTTCGGGCACAATTCTCCAAGAAAATAAACTATATTGTCTGGGGTATTTTTCCAATTGTGTATACTATGAGGCATATAATGTCAATTTATCTCTTTTTAAAGGGTATGAGAAGTAGAGTTGGGCCATCCAATAATAAAACTAGTATGTGTTCCTTTTCTGGGACGTCTTATATTTGAAAAATTAGATTTTAAGCTGGGCTATCCAAGCAATAATCGAGAGCATTAATGATTGACCTGATTTTTATTAGAAGTAGAGCTTATTTTTTGGGACTGAAATATTGTCAAATTTCTTAGAGAGGAATTGAAGGATGATAAATGCTGAATGATGATTTTGTTGCTTCATGCAATATGCTTCCGGGTAGTAGCCCCTTCTGATAAATAGTTACATAATTCAAATAATCAAAAGGGCCTAATAATGCATAGTTTAACTTACCTCAGTCTAGTATTAAGATTTTTTTTACATACTTGGTTGGACTTCATAAACAACTGATCAAGGCTTGTTGATTTTGGTTTGCAATAGCATCTGGTCCTTAGCTTTTATTTTTGAAACTATTGAACTGTGTTAGGCCGGTCCGGGGGGGGGGGGATGCTGGAGACGGTCCCGGTCCTAATTTACTCCAGGCGGCCCCACATGTGAATGGAACCTGGGATAGCAGGGGGAGGGAATTTTTGAATAGAAGGGTTGTTTAGGGATTTTATATGGGTCTTTTGGAGTTAATTAGGGGCTAAGGGGGATTTAGGGTTTTATCTTGAATTTTGGCTGAAATTTTGGGATGCTCTTGGAGGCTTGGGCTCTAGTCTTCTTAACTAGAGATTTTGGAGAGTTTTCCTCTTGAATTGAAGAATCTTGTACCGTTGCTGTTTTTATTCGTCTACTAGTGGAATACCAGTTATTTGCTTGAATTTTCTTCAGATTTCCCTCCAGTGTTCTCAGTTTTCTACTGGATTTGGCTGTTTTACTGCTGTAAACATTAGTTTCCTTGCTGTTTGATCATCAATTTTGGTTAGGTTTGTTTGCGAACTCAAGTATTTCCTATCAAACTGCTGGGCATAAAAAATTTTATTTTGTTTGATATGTTTCTCTACCATGGATGTAATTTCTTTCACTCAATCTCATTGAATCCTTATGCTATCTTCATTGGTGCTTAAACAATAGCACATCTTTTTTATTTACCGCCCATTTGTTGATATCCTGGCAATTACTTCCATCTTGTTACGGTAATGATGGTAGTCATGAGTTTTGTTTGGAAAAATCCATTTGCAGGTCACATCTCCTTACGGAAATTCACTTCATCAGAAGGAGAAGATAACAAGTGGCCAGTTCGCATTCACAACATCAGAAGCTGGCAACTACCTTGCATGTTTTTGGATTGATAGCAGCAATAAAGGTGTAGCAGCTAATGTTATTCTTGATTGGAAGATTGGTATTGCTGCTAAGGATTGGGATTCTGTTGCTAAGAAAGAGAAGATTGAGGTAAGTTCTAGCTCACATGATAGCTCAATTTACTTCGTCTATATCTCACTCGTGCGAGTTTGCCAAACATTTAGGGCGTTGAGCTTGAGCTTAAGAAATTGGAAGCACAGGTGCAGGCAATCCATCAGAATTTACTATATCTCAAGTCCAGGTAATCCTTGTAGCTCCAAACATTTTGGCTTCGTTTGGGATGGCTTTTTTTTTTGTTTTCTAAAACAGCTTTCTAGCACAAAAATATCTTGAATTTGAATTTTTTTTTTTAAAGCAGAATGAAAGATGTCCCGAACGAAGCTTTTATCTACTGATTTTGTTAAAGATGTTGGGAAGGCATGGACTGAACATTTTTTATGTTTTGTGATGAGCTCAGGGAAGCTGATATGAGAGAAGTGAGTGAGACGACAAATGCCAGAGTTGCATGGTTCAGCATCATGTCCCTTGGTGTATGTATTGTGGTATCTGTCTTGCAGTTGTGGCATCTTAAAAGCTTCTTCCAGAAGAAAAAACTGATCTAGACTTAACCATTGAAGCATGTAGAATGAGCAAAAATCAAGAAACAATTGGTATGAATCGCTGTTTTTGTGTAACATTTTTCTTTATATGCAGAATTATTCTGATCTTAATCTACATTTTGGAGTTTTTTTTTTTCTTTTAATCTCTTTCTTTTGAATGGATTCTGGATACTATGGCTTCGTTTGAGACGATTTTTTTATTTCTTTTTGAAGCAACTTTTTAGTAAAAAATTAAAATTTGTATTAGAAAACTACTTCAAGAAACAGTAAAAAAGCTGTGGCTTTGTTTGGCAGTGCTTTTTTGCTGCTTTTTAAAACAACTTTTCAGTATAAAAATTAAAATATTTGTACTATAAACTGCTTTAAGAAGCAATAAGAAAGCTGTCCCCAAACAAAGGCTAAACTTTTGCCTAGACTTAGGCTTCATTTCAGACGACTTTCTTCCTGCTTCTTAAAGCTGCTTTCTAGTAAAAATTTTAAAAAATTGTACTAAAAAGCTACTTTAAGAAGCAGTAAGAAAGCCGTCCCAAACGAAGTCTTAATGGCCCGAATGTCTCAAAAATGAAAGCTAATATAGAAATGTTTACATATAAAAGGATTTCCCTTCTTAGAAGTTTCTTCTATATTAAGTTTAAGTTTAAGAAGTGAAGCAAACAGAGAAGAGAGCAGACTTCCTCCACATTATACCGGAACATCTACCCTAACGGCATCGCGTAACATAGAGAAATGAGCTTTTAACCAGGAAATAAATTCTATGTAAACTTTTCTATATTAGCCTTTATTGTTCACTGTATAGAATACATACAGTATATAACAAGGCATTTGATCAAATTTTTACTTTACATATATGTGGATTGGATTTAGAATCCGTTTGGGTGAACTTTTATTACATCCGGTGAACGTACGTAGAGCTACATTCGGCCGACATTAAGATCGCACGCACAAAACAAGAAATACCGAGCAAATACTGAGCAATACCAACAATAAAGAGAAAATATCATTATGTGAAGACGAAATACCGAGCAATACCGAGTAATACCAAAAAATATCGAGTTTTTTCTAGAAAAAACTCGGTATTTTTTGGTATTACTCGGTATTGCTCAGTATAACTCGATATTGGTCTTCATAGAGCGGTATTCCTCGTTATTACCAAACAATACCTAACAATACCGATCAAATGTTGAGCAAAAACCGAGTAACAATCCTCTGATCGAACGTAGATCTACGTCCGATCAGAGGACGTAATAAAAGTTCATTTGAGTGACTATGATTTTTTGTAAATATGATTGTAAAAATGTCATGGAGAAAGTAATTTTTTAAAATTTTCTATAGAAAATATTCATAGTACAAAGTTTTCTAAATAATTGTAAAAAAATAGTTGCAATATAAAAATTATATTTACGGTCCTAAAAATAAAACAGTAATAAAGCTGTTTTAAATGAAGGCTTAGGAAGGCTTCTTTTGGGATAATTTTTTTTATTATTTTTTAAAATAATTTTTTAGTAAAAAAACATTTAAAATTTTAAAGAAAATAATGATCAAAATTATTTAAAATACATCTGTACTGTTCTTTTATTAGCTCGTGGTTTTGATTAAGTGGATGAGAAGGTGGCTGCACCATCTTTGCTATAAAAGTGGGAAATTTTATTCTGTGCGAACATAGGAAGACTTTCGGAGATTAATCAGAATGCGTCATGTCATTTTTTTGCTCGGCACCGATGCTTGGTACCGCTCTGTACTGGATGCCATGGTACGTTTGAGTTTAGGGTTAAAAATGAAATTAAGTTATTTCTTCTATGAGAAGTTACAAATGATTTCAATATAAAAATCTTAAATATAAAAAGAATTATGCTTTAAATCAAATTTATAAAATAAACTTAAGCTTCTTTGGAATGATTTTTTTATTACTTCTTAAAGTAGCTTTCAAGTACAAATTTTTTTTAAACAAAATATTTTTTATTGAAAAACTGCTAAATGAAGCAATAAAAAAATAGTCTTAAATGAAGTCTTAATTGGCTGTTAAGAAAAAAATAATAGCAAAAAATGATCTAACAAAAGCCAACCAAATAATATCCTTCATTATAAAACTCTTAATTATATTGTCTAAAAGAAGAGCATCCATAAGTACTATTTTTTTTTTAAATTGAATTTACTATATTAAAGCTTTTACTATACTAACGACTAAATAACTAATATGTGTTTGATAATCCTATATTAGCAAATTTAATTGTTAATAAATTTATTTAAATGAAAGAGGATTTTTAAATTGAATCCTAATTGTTCAAAATAAGGATAAAAATGAATAATAATTTCCATATGTTTTGGCAAAATATACAAATTTATAAAATAAACTTAATTCTTAAGAAATTGATTTTTTTTTTTTTTTAAACATTTCTCTTAAGATATGCATGTTTTTGGCTTGACCTATTGGAAAGATTTTACCTTGGTTTCAATTTTGATTTCATTTCATGGAAAAAATTTCAATTTTTATTATAAAATAATGAAAAATATATATACTTAAGATATAAAGTAATATAAGTATTTTTAATTGAGGTTTAAATTCTAATATATGAAATTTAGAGTCAAATCTTCTAAAAAATTTAATACACTTAAGATTGAGCTCGTTGAAATGACACATAATATTATTTTTTTTTAATATTTGACAACTTATTTTTTTATAATATAAAACGAGCTCAATCACGATCTCGAGCTTTTGAGTCAAGCTCGAGCTTGATATTTTCTAAACAAGTTGATCTCAAACCCACTAATCGATCTCAAATTCGAGCTTGAGCTCGAACTCATTGAGGATTAAACGAGCCATGCTTAATAAGGCAAATACTCGACTCATTTACACCCCTAATTCAAACGAGTTAAGTTCATGTTCACTCTTTTGACTTGTTTATTAAACATGTCAAATTCAATTTGATCAAATTTGAGTATGATCAATTTCGAGTCAAATCTAAACACGACTAATTAACTAAAAATTTTGCATCGCATCAACATATAAGTTATAAGATAGATCTTGTATTTTTATGAATTTTGAATTTATTTTAGGAAATGTATTTTATAAGGTAATTAAGGAAATATACATTTTTTTTTTTTTAAAGAAATATGATCAACAATTCTCTTCGAATTAAAACTCCCTTTATATACTTATATCTCCATTGTATATAAAAATGGCATTATGTCATTTAACATTTCAACTTTCATCATTGTTTTTGTTATCCTTTAGGCTTCATTTGAGATGGCTTTCTGATTGCTTAATAAAAAATAAGAAGGTTGTCCCAAAAGAAGCTAATTATGAATTATTAGAGGGGGCTAATGAAACTACATTATTTTAATTCAAAACAAATTGTATAACGTCCAAATACTAAAATCTAGAAACTAGTTTAATATTAGGGGGATAACTCTAAATATTCATAACTAGTATTAGGCTAGTTTTATTATCTAAACCCTAAATTATTATATGTTAACATTAAAGCTAATTATAAATTATGCTTTTTAAAAAAAGATTATGAAGGTCAATTGTTAATAAGTTTTTCTCATGTCGTTTTGCTAGGGTTTCCCTAGCCCTCTTTGCAGCGATGTCGCCGCTGATGGGGTTGGTGCTTCTCTCAGGAAAGTTTTTCATTTTCATGCACTTTCATGCTAGTTTGTAGATCTTGCGGTGTCTCTTGTCGATTCATCCACCTACGACCCTAGCTTTTTGAAAGGTTCGACTAAGTCCTACTATTTTCTTGATGTTTTATCTGGTTCTGCCACCTGTGCAAGTTTTCCCAACCTAAAACCTACTACCTTTCATGGATTGTCATCCTTATCTGATTATGCCGCTGACGATTTTTCTGACGAAATCTAATTTTCTAAATTGAATGCTTTGATGTGCTGTGATATCAGAAAGGAGTTATAAGGGGCCAGAATCCTTTGAGATTCTATCTGTATCAGGGAAATCTGAAAAGAAAACAAGTTATGTTCTAAAATTCTGTATATCTGTTCTGTTCTAGTGCTATAAGCACAAAGGGAAGTATAAGATGTCAAAATCCGTTGAGATTCTGTCTGTGTCAGGGAAGGGAGGTATAAGGGATCAGAATCCGTTGAGATTCTGTCTGTGTCAGGGAAGGGAGGTATAAGGAGCCAGAATCCGTTGAGATTCTGTCTGGGTCAAGAATATCTCATATCTGAATCTGATATGTGTTATGTGATATGTAATATGATATTGAAATGTAATTTTATCTGATTTGAAATCTGCTCCGTACGATTCTATTTGTTCTGTGAAATCTGATTTGAATGTTCTGCTACGTGATATAAATTCAATTCTTATGTACCGGTTATTTGATTTCTTTTCGATATCTGTTATGTATGATTATCTGAATTCTGTACGGCTACTATTCTGATGCATTTTTTGTTGTGAATTTCTAGAGATTTTGATGGGCAATTGTAGTTTTACTAAGTTATTAGCTCATCCTTATTATCTGCGTGGTTTTCAGGTTCTGGGAAAGGGAATGAGATATTGGACTAACAGTTCTGTGTCTGATCAGTTGTTAGGAGCCATGCATTGTATTGTACATAATTATTTTGATGAAAGGAGAAAATGATAGATGAAATTCTGTATATTTGAAAGTTATAATAGCTCTGTATTTTTTGTTCTGTATGTCTGAAATTTGGAATAATGTCTGAAGCAAATTTCAAAACTAGATCCTGAATTTTCAACATTTGTCGCGGCCCGACGCGAAGGAATTCGTTCCGGTCGGGTTGGGTCATGACAAGATTGATGTGGATGAGGTGCATAACTATGACCTTAATGTGGTTCAAATTTATGAGAATGGTTCCTTCAAAAAAGGTGGTAAACATAAACAAAGAAAATCCAAAAAGAAATGATTACTTTTTTGGATTTTTTTGTTTGGGCTAGGGCTGTTGGTTCTTGTCGTGGTTTCCTTGTGATGTTCCGAGTTGCTTGTTTGTTTTGGGATTGTGTTGGTTGGATTATTATGATCCTACTGAGTTGGTTTGTATGTTTGGGAGTTGCTCTTTGTATTTTTTTTTTTTTTTTTTGTGGTTTTGATCTTTGTTATTGTTTTTTAAGGTAGCTTTCTAGTGAGTCCTTATTGGACTGATTTGGTGCCTGGTGATTTTTATCTCCTTTCTTCTCTTGTTGGTGCTCTTGCATTTTCCTTGGTGGCTCCTCCTACAAATTGGCTGCCTTTTTTGTCTATCTCACATTTTATGGCTTTGTTGTTGGCTACTACTCTAATTCCTATTTCCTTTTATATTGTCTTTAATTTCCTTTCTATTGGTTTTGTTTGTAATAGTTAAGTTATGTTGGCTCTTAGGTTTTACTTCAATGAATGTATTTTTAGTAAGCCTTTGAAACTTTTAAGTACTTGTAATCTTTCTTTATATTAACACATAAGCCCCTTTGCGAATTTTAATTAAGAAAAGCTAATTATGCTTTAATATTAGCACACTCACAAATATTAAGTTAAATATCAATGTTTTAATATTTAGAGTTAGTTTAAGGTGATAAATGGTACTAAACATGGCACTAAATCTTTAATATTAATTAACCTAAACCATATTGTGACATCACACCAATTAAAAGCATTTAAGATTATAGCTAAAACAATAATTCCAAATGTGATTTACAATACTCCCTCTTAATTTATTTTTTAAACCCAAAATCTTATTATAATGACATGAAGACTAGATGCTAATAAACCAACTAAACCCTCTACCTTACGCACTAATCAATTGGTCATACCATTAAAAATGAGTTAATTTTATTATACCTTTACCGCCCCCTAAACCGCCTCAACATAAATAGTGGCCAAAACTAATCCCTAAGCCCTAAACCATACTACAATTATTCTTAGTTATGCCCTCATGATGACACTAGTGTTGTTTCCATTTTCCAAGACTAGTTTCTTACCTAAGCTTCCCTAACATGCTTTGGCATAACCCAAGATGAAAGTGCAATCATAGGAAAAGTTTTAAAGGGCAAGATGAAAAGTATAATATTAAGTTATCACCAATTTTAAAGTTAAGAGCTTAACAAACAAGTGAGTTAGGTTTCATTAGAGATAATTTTCTTACTGTTTCTTAAAATAAATTTTTAATACAAAATTTAAAACATTTTACTAAATAGCTACTTTAAAAAGCAATAAGAAAATTGTCTCAAACAAGACCTTAGTTTAAGGCAAAACCTCTTTTATAAGATGCTTATTATCAACATGTAGATATACTTCCAACGCTATAAATAAGCTTGTTTTTTAATTATAACAAATTGAGATGAACAAGTGAGAAAAGAGCATCAAGAATTATAAAAACTAGCATGCATAATAGGAAAAAAATTGGATCAAATGCAACTACAGTAATCCCCGTTGAGAATGTAGAGGTTCGTTCTCGCATAAAAAGAGTTCAAGAAAACAAGTTCTGCAAAGGCTATATATGACCTCTAGTATTTCCAAAATTCTCAAATGAACAAAAAAATTGCAATATAACCAATTCACTACAAGTTTTGCTTATTATGTGCAAACATCAAATATCGTTCAGAGGCCAAACAGAATACACCACATCACCCCTTCACTTGATACCGCAACTCGGTAATGCTCGGTACCACTCGATACCACTGACATGGTGCATTCTAGTTGGTCTCTAGATGACATTTTGCATCCAGTCTCTGCACAAAATAATTTCTCCAAAAAACAAGCATGCTCATTATATTTATATAACCAATGCAACATTGGAAACGTGACTCAGTTATAGCAACTAAAGAGTGTTCATGTAATTTGTTTAGGAAGATTGGACTGAAGAAGTTTTGCCTATTGACAAAAAAAAAATTAAAAAAAAAATAATAAAAAATAAAAAAAATAAAAAAAACAAATAAAAAATAAAAAAAATAAATAAATAAAATAAAAAATAAATAAAATAAAAAAAGTTTTGCCTGTTGACATGCAATTCTGCTAAAGCTCTAATTTCCATGTATCATAATCTGTTGTTCATAACCAAAATTTTTGTCTGGCTTTGAATTTTAAAAAAATGATAAATATAATGGTTTGCCATTCATCCACAGATCTACCAATTACGAGATAGTTATACTAAATAGTAAATACTGAACAGATTTGTATCAATCAAGTTATGCAATCAAAAGATTGAAGAAAAAATAGAACCTCATTTCCCAAGTACAAATAACCCTTAGTGGGTTTTCAGTAAGTTGTACTGTAATTGGAGAGCAAGAATGAAAAAACATCAATGGCATTAAGCAAATGCTGAAGAAAAGAATACCAGTTAACCAGTCAGGTGATTTTATGAATCCCTTAATTATGAAATAAACTCATTTATTCAATGTGAACAATGTCGTTATTCAAATGCTTGAATCTGCATATCTCCTCAAAGAAATCATCGGCGGTTTCATGGCAGTTCTTCATCTGGGAAATTCTAATGACCATCTTCCGCAACTTGACGCTGAAATCAACCAATGATTCAAGAGTGTTGAGCTTCTGCTCAGCATTCAATGGTGATCTCACTGTTATCAGGACCTCTTCCAAACTGGGAATCACAAAATTTGAATCCAACTGCAATCCAAAAAGTATCTTTTATCATATTGAAGTTACAGAAATTACAGATGAAAACATAAATATCTTAGCTTTTTCATTCTACTTACTTTCTTGAGACTGTTCTTTTGACATAAAGCTGCAAACATGGCTCCATGAATTTCTAAAGTTTTCAACTTTGGGTGGTTATTAAAGAATTCTACCAAATCAATCTCTGGAAATGGCTGCAAAGTCTCAAAATCCCCACAGAACTCAATCTTCATAACTAGGTGTTTCACATCACTTGCACATTGAAGAACGGAGCTTATTGCATTCCAGCTCCATTGAATTCCTCTAAGAGACAAATGTTCCAAGTCCACTAGCTTTCCTGTATCAACTCCATATAATCGGCCTGTAACAACAAGAATAAAGTGAATTTCATAACAATTTCAAGAAAATAAAACACAACAAGCACAGAAATACTACACAAATCAGAAACTGTTGAAATTTTAGTTTGACATAATTGAAATAGCCAATAGGATGAGCAAAAAAAACAGAAATCAGAACTTAATTCGTGGGTTGATATAGCAAACTAGGAGAGCTAACCTGTATTCTTAGAAATGCAGAGGCTCCTCAATTTATGATTTTTGTTAACACGGACCCAACTAAAACCTTGGATTTCAAGCACCTGGAGCCTCATTGAGCTCACAGACAGTGAACAATTTCCTGGGCCTAAGAAATCAAGCCTACATCTTTCCAGCCACTCCAACTCTATGGATAGTGTTGTAACTCCATCACAAGAAAGCAGTGCCAAATCAGTCAGATTAGGACAAGCTTTAATAGTATCCTTCACAGCATCATCACAAAGTGCTGCTCCAATGATCGCCAAGGTCCTAAGTCTCTTAAAAACGCCCCAGTTTGGAGACCTGGTTAAGGACACACCCCAAAGCTTTAGAGCTTCCAAGTTATGCGCTGCACCTATACAGTCCACTCGATCACCATTTCCCTCACTGCCAAAAAACTTGTCAACTGCACTGTCCATTCGAAGCTCTAGAATTCGAAGAGAACTGTTATGAAGGGAGATCCATGAAGCAAGGCTTGATGTTGAAAAGGGGCAGTACACAACTAACTCCTCCAAGCGCAGGACAATGGAGACTATTCGGCATATTATGGCATCAGCATCAGCAACAGAATGAAAGGCATTGCGTGGGAAGTAGAGTGATGGGCTGTAAGGAATGCAGTCTTTCCACCTTTTGGAGACACAGCTACAAGATGCAACATCTCTAGCATGGCTTATATGTGATAGGATTTGTTGGATGATGGCATCAGGCAACATATCCATCATTGTTGCAGACTGCAAAGTAGAACAAAATCCTGTTAATTTATTACGGTATCATCAAGAGGTGACTAAGAGAGTTGAACATAAAATGATTCTGACTCAATGAAGCTAGTAGAGCAATGCAGGAAGACAAGACAAAGCCAGGAGTGAGTAGTAATTATTGAGAAGCAATAGAAGACAGCATAGCAAGAATTATGTTTTAGACATTTGAAGAGAGAAAACTTTCGTGCACTGCTTAGAATCACAGCAGACAAAAGAAGGTCGTAGCATTCCTTATAATAAAATCTGGAAGAAGTATAGCTCATAAGAGAAAGGCAAATTATACTAGTTTGCTATATAACTGGTTAAATGGAATTCGATGAGCCAAGATAATAGCGTTTCCAGATATGAACAATAAATGGCATTTGACACTAGATTTCAAGAGAACTGGAATTGTGCCGCCATTGAAGTACTAGACGGTCTGAAAAGTATTTTACCCTATTTCTTAACTACAGAAAATGATATCAAGAATCCAAAACTGGATATCTAAACAAAGATAAATTTTAATTGGATAGAAAATCCAAGCAAAACTGAATAGCCAAAATATGTACGTTGAAGCTATCAAACTAACACAAATAACAAAGATCGTATGAAGCTCTATTTCTAAAAACTTTATTCTTCAATCATCCACTTTGATCAAAGTTAAAAGACATTTTATTTTGAAGACACATTTGGAATTTTCGACATTGTTGGATTCGATAAAATGTTAAGTAGAACACAGCTGAAATAATATGCATCAAGCTTGGATTTTGAAACAAATTATCTCGCTTCCCTTTAGATCTACAGCTTCTACTCGACGGCAGAGAAATCTTACAAAGTTATGCTACTTCCAAAACGCACACCCTGCGAATGAACAGAAAAATCTCCGACGAATTTCAAATGGACGCAAGTTCTGCAAATCAAAAGTCGAGACAATCCCTTCACAAATCCTCTTCTTAAACACCTTCTTTCCGCTAACCACAGCCTTTAGGAAGTGATCCAAGGAAGAAGAGTGCGGCGGCTTAAATAACCAACCAATCCACCGAAAAACTTCTTGGGCATCAATGTTTTGAGTAGAGTTGCGAAGTATTTTATACTTGAGATGGGAAGAGAAGAATCATAACAGCTCGCGTAGAAGGACGAAAGGTCTGAATTTTAAAATGATCGCTCGACGGATGGGTCCCAGATTTTTTCAGAGGAAACAAGAGGAGGGAGAACGTTGGGCTTTGGCCGCCTAATTTTCAGAATTTGAAATTTTTACCGTTGCCGGGCATCCAATAAGCGTGGTCCTTGGATAAGGCGCAGGAATTTGAACTTCAAATTTTTTGAAAGAATCTCCAAATTTTCAATTCGAATTAGCCTTAAACAAATTTTCTTGATTTTTTATTAGCTAAACGGGGATTAATGATGATTGAAATTTTATTATCATGCAATTAAATACATGATTTTTAATTTAATCATAAATAGGGGAATTAAAGATTTAATTTGGCAATAAGAAAATAACCTCATGCAATATATGCTGAGAAAATATACTTTGAGTCAATTAAATCATTAGATCATCTAACCCAATGCACCTACTCAATATCCATCAAAATATGAATGAAATCCAACTATACTTGTTAGTTCATTACATAACTTTAACCTTTAGTACCTTTCAAAGATGAACCATTAGCGTGAATCTAAAAGCTTCTCTAAAAGTTGCACAACTATTAACTTTAAGGCTTCGTTTGTGATGGCTTTTTTCCTGCTTCTTAAAACAACTTTTTAATTTATACTAAAAAGTTTTTTTAAGAAGCAGCAAAAAAACTGTCTCAAACGAAACCTAAATCGATCATAAAGTAGAATGTACATTAATATATATGAGCAAAGAGAGGGATATAAGTGAAAAATACATTGAACTATAATAGATATGAGGTTCTTTTAATATATAATTTATTTATGAAAGCTTCTTATATGCTATAACTCATAAAGAATGATTTATATAAATTAAGAATCATTGTATTCAAATGCAAACATATTCACTTATAGGCATGCAATATTTTTACATTGACCAATGATTCTTTAGTCATTTATAATATATATAGTCAGTTTACTATAATACTTTACCGAGAAAGGTAAACACCAATCACAAAAAAATTTTATAATTTTCTATAGAGTTGTTATTTTGTGGATCCATTGATAAGGCTAGCAAATATCCAAATGGGTCAATTACCGACAATGCTTGCATCATAAATAGAAGCATATCTTTTATATATATTATATTGTAATAATAGCTCTCGATAAAAGTTATAAAATAATTAAGCTCAGTTATATGGTAACATGAAATACTGCGAATGAATTAGCACATTTTACTATATACTATTAACATGCTATGAGTAGAAAGGGATGGACCCCCTAATAAGAAAGGATATGTTATGCATGCTTGCATTGCGAATGAGATTGACTCTCCACATTGTGTTCAAGATTGACACCATAATCTCCAAAAAGATTGATATTGATCGTTGCTACAAAGGGTTGGCATCTACCATCGTCAATAAAATCGATGCTCGTTGTAGTTACTAACACTGTCATCTATTTTTTTTGCCAACGGTAACTCTCATTATTGCCAAAACGGTTAATGTTAGACACCCATTGTTGCCACTAACTTATGGTTGTCGTTAATGCTAACTCCACCATTATCACCATCGTTGACGCTCACTGGTGTTATTATTGGTCAGGTGCATTATGCTTATACTTCACAAAAAGAATTGCCTTGAGTTAGCATGAATCTCGAGGCATATCTTAATTGGAAATTTTCAAAATTAATTTCAAGGTCATTTGAGCTCCATTTTAGCAAACTTATTGTCAAATTGAATATCTTAGAAAGATGAACTTAACGACACCAAAATCAGTTGAATATGAGCCCAAATAGGTCCAAATCAAGGGATCGAAACATATTTGAAATGTTCAAAGCATCAATTGGATGATTTAAAAATATCTAAATATGACATGTTTATAGTCAAATCGATCGGCTCGACAAGACGAATCCAATGAGCCCAATATCGTTATCTATAACATCATTTGGACACATACATGTTTGACAAATGCTTTATGATTGAGGGGATGGAGCACTCTAAATTTGCCCAATATCTTCTCTATATTTTACAGGGTATGCTAGTCTCAATAATCTACAAATAGACCCCATTTCTCATATGAAAAAGAGAGCTTGGACCATTGGGCTGGAAATCAGAGACACACCACACTAACCACTGTCGCCCATTGATTGTGGTCTCTCCGACCTCTGTTGCTCACTGACCGCGATCCCTCCGACCTCCTTTGCCTGCCTACTACGATCCCTTCGACCTCCATCACATGCCGATTGCGGTCCCTTCAACCTTTGTCGTACGTCAACTACAAATCCCTTTGACCTCCATCATCCGCCGATTACTACCCCTACCCCTCCGACCATCATCGCCCGCTGACTACGATCTCTTCGAGCTTCATCGCCTGTAGACTACTATCCCTCCATCCATCATTGCCCGACTACGGTCCTACCAACCAAACGAAACAGGGCAACACTCCCTTGCAAACAAATCTCGTATCACTAGATTCTTCAAACTCCCACCATGTAGTATACTCTATATGATATATATTTTCTACATCGAGCCAAAGCCTTCCTCTCATGGAAGGGCCCATTTGTAATCAAGAATAAATACTAGTGGAATCATTTAACTGAGCCATGCCGCGTCGTTTTTTTCCCTTTTCAAGATTTTTCACGTAAAATTTTTGATCTCTTATGATCACTTTTGCACCCCTCTCTGTTATATGTTCATGTGCTGGATCTTCGTATAAAACTTGGACGCTAAACTCTACATATTTCTCTACTGTCGTGAATGTACGGGAACCCAACAATACTAATGCATCATCTAATTATGAGGAGTTGCATCTTATATGGGCTTCTTATCTTATTTATGTGTGCAGTGTTTTAATTCAATATTAAGATGATAAAATCTGTCCATCTCCCAAAAAATAATGTTAAAGTTAAAGAAATTTTTGTAGTCGTTAGCCTAAAGAATCCCTTTATGTCCATGCAAGGGAACAACCATAGATATAGATAGCATTAAAATTTCAAGTTTTTAAACATTAATAAATTATTGGACTAATTTTTTAGGATTTAAAATTTATTTGAGGCTGAACTCTTTTATGTGTGCTGTGTGAAGTTTTTTTTTTTTTTTTTTTTTTTTTTTAATTAGCCGAAAAACGAAAAAAAAAAGGTCCCTATTCTGTGCTGCAGCCCGACGATGATTGTGGGGTATCTCCGCCCTCTCACCCTCTCGGCGGCCGAACCTTGCCGACACGCTCCGCTCCTCCTACCCGAAACTAGAACAGCCGTTTCCTTCATCAAACCCTGCTGCCTCTCCACCGGTCACCTCCATCGCCTTTCGATTCGCGCTGCCTCTTCTTCTCCGGCGCATGCGCTTCTCTCTCAGGCACCCGCACCGACAAACCCCCGATGGATTGTGCTCATGGAAAAACCTACGTTTTCCGGATCCTCCAAGTCGGAGATTATTGATTACTACGTCGATACTTTAGCAAGGGTTGTCGGCAGGTAAGCATATCTACATTTTATTTATATCTGCCTTTATATTTGGTGTTATTCCGGCATTCATTAATCCAGTTTATGATTTTTGATCATTTCTATTTTATTTAGTGTGTTAATTTGGCGTGCAGTGAGAGAGATGCTCAGATGTGCATCTACGACGCATCCTGGGAGTCCAATTTCGGGTTCTGTTGTGACATTGATGAGGAATCATCTCGTGAACTTGCCCGTGAGTTTATGATAATTTGTGCCTTCCTTGATTATTTGGCATCGCTGTGTTCTTGACTATTTTAGATGTTTCCTTTCTTTTTTTAGATTATAAAAGTTTTCTTGGATATATATCGCTTATTTAGTAACCTTCATGAAGTACCAGAGCATTTGAACGGAGCATCTCTGAATAAGTGTAGTATTCTGTAATCATCTTGGAGTATTTTGCTTAGCTGAATGATTGTCAAAAGCATCTTAGCTGATTATTTTGTCATGAGTTATTTGAATATCTTAAAGAATCTAACTGAGGTTCTAGTTTTCAAAATATTGTTATCATATAAGTAAGTGTTTTTTTTTTTCATTTCCCAAAATTTCTGCTTTAGTTAATTTCATATATTATTTCATTGTTCAAAGTATACAAACGTTAGCTATGTCTGCATGTGTTGCTTCTTCTTTCTCTCATTTTAGGAACTCCTTTCGTGTTTAACTGACATTGTTATTTGGTTCATTGCAATTTAATCTCTGCATGCCTATCCAATCTTTAAAAGCCTGACCTATTTACTGACGTTGAAACTGCCTTAAACTCCTGATGTTTTCTCAAATTTTACCCTCATAGTCTTCTTTCTAGAAACATAAACCAAAAATTGTCTTCTCTTTTGTAGGTATTCCAGGAGTTTTATCTGTTAGATCTGACGATAGTCCAGATGCAGGAAAGAAGGATTATAGCCGTTTGAACCATTTGCTAGTTGATCACTCAAAATCTGATTTCAATGCTCCAAAGTTTTCTCCCTCTGGTAAAAATTATGAATATTGGCTTGTTAGAATGAAGAAGCCTGGGGTTGAAACAATCACGAAGGCACAGATGGTGGACTATTATGCTCAGATACTAACAAAGGTTTTGAGGAAGTAAGCGTTGGAGTATTTTTGCATATTATTTATTTTCCATTTTTTCTTGAAGTGCTGCTTTTTTCTGAGCAACTTTTTTATGTATTTCTGCAGCGAGAAAGATGCTGAAGTGAGCATATATCATATATCATGGGAGGCTGACCTTGGATTTTGTTGCCAGATTGATGAGGAATGCGCAAAGGAACTGAGTGGTTCGTACTTTTTCTATGAATGTAAACTGTAAGTGTGTTCGTGCACAGGTTTACCAGTAACTAATCTAATGACATCTAAATTGTGAAGCAGATGTGCCTGGTGTATTGTCTGTAAGGCCTGATCTCAATTTTGGCTCCAAAAACAAAAATTACAAAGGTTTGCTCAGCATTAGCTGTACTTTATCTTGGTTAATTTGTGATTAATTACGGGATTTGAGTAATTTTTCATATTGAAAGGTGCAAATCATTTGATGAGGTCAACACGTTTAACAATTGTTTACTGCTTTCCCAGGATGGCTCTTAAGGTTATGGCCGGATGTATGGTATTTCACATTAACACCTCTGTTAGAAGTTCTACTAGTTGTTTTGATAATGAAAGCTAGATTAAGGGAGTATTAGGTAAAACTAGGTGAAGTTGTCTATGTCCTTTTGTAATTTTTTATCATTCTGGAAGATAGGAGAAATAATTTGAATTTTGTGTGTATTTCATTAGGCATCTTATATCTCTATTTATACAACATACTAGATAACTTCTACATAACAAAACTAATAATTACATGAGAAATAAGGCATATATGATGTGCACACTTATCTCTTTGAAAACCTGAGAGAGATTTCTGCTCCTTGTAGAGGCCCACAGATTGCCACCTTGTCCACAATGAAGGATCTCTAGCTTTGCATTCTCATGAATTGCTAGCTGGCCTTTAGAGCTGCAAACACCCTACCTCAAGTTCTAGTAGATTTATTCTTGTATCTAACTTGGACGTGATATTCTGAAATATAGGGTTTGGTGGTCCTTTAGTTAGGATGTCGACCAACTTTTTGTATGTATGGATATATGTGATACATATCAATCTGCTTTTTAATTTTTCTTTGATGAAGTGTTGTTCAATTTTTATTTATTTAGTTCAACCATATTGGACTAGATTATGTGTGATGTTGATAGGAAATTTGTTGTCACAAGATAACTTCACAGTATCTTCCCATTTTATTTCTAAGCAATCAAAAATAATTTTTATTCTTAATATCTCACAGACCCCTTGGACTATTTCCCAAAATTCATCTTCAGCACTAGATCTAGCAATCACTTATTGCTTTTTATTTCTTCAAATAATTAGATTCTTACCTACAAAAGTGTGTAACTAGTAGTAGATCTTTTGTTTGTGAAGGATCATGTCCAATGAGCATCTGCTCCAGGCCTAGTATTCTAGTTCTTTTGAATAAGATTCATTTTCATAGCATTGCTTTGAGGGATTAAGTAGTTTTGTTGTTGCTTATAGATCCGTTTCTTCAGGATTATGCATAAATTAACTGAAGAACGTTTATAGCATGGGCTATGTTAGTCTTTTGTAGATTAGATAATCTTTTCGATCAGTTCAAACATTTAGTTGTTTAGTAATGTAGGTAAAACATGTAGTAAATTTTTTTTATTGAAATCCATTATTCAAGCATTTGTCATGGACACTGGGATACTTTTCTTTAGTATGGTATTGGTTGGTTCATTAGTAACCTTAATAGAATTGTACTTGTATGAATCTACAGGAAGCAATGTAGAACTAAAATCAAGCGGTACAAATGATTCTACAGAAATAAGCCCACCAGATGTAAAAACTAAAAGGATTTTTGTGACCGGTAAGTTAATTATTTTCTTTAGCTAGCTTTCAATTTCTTCAATTTTTTTAGAGAAGAAAGGGAATTACCATTATGTTTTGATAAAATCATTTGTTTAATTTTTTATTTGATTTCTAAATTGTCAGTTTAACATTAAATGGCTTTATCCTTTAAAGGTCTTGACTTCCAGAATTTCCTTGATGTCCTTATGCTTGTAGGTCCTGACGCCCACGCCCTATTAGATTCCATTTACAAACAACTGCTACGTCAAGCAAATAATCGTAAATAAATTTTATTTTAGCTACATCAGAAACCTGCTAACTCCTTTAACTGAAAACTCGTATCATACAAAACATTCGACTATCCATGGACATAATGATGGTTCAAAATTTGACCCTATTTTAACTGTGAATTGGGTTGAACCATCTGGTTGGATCACCTTGCTAAGTCATCTGATGCCATAGTATGTCAGCAAGAAGTTGCTCGTCAACTCATGCGATTTGCCAGTAAGATGTCCAAGTTGCCGCCCTCATACTGGCTCCATTACAAATTGTGGTCTTCAAGAAGATTCCGCTGGTGTTGCTATTTTGAGTGGAACTTAAGTCATCTCTCAAAAGATTCATCAACTTCAGTTGTCATCTAGGGATGTCTAGCACCTGGGAGTATGCTTCTTTTTTATATGGTCGGCTTAGGTTTTATTACTTGGTATTTGGCATTTTAAGTCCTTGAGCATCCAGAGAGCATAAAACCTAAGTAAAATACATTATGTTAGAAAACTTAACATCAGAGTTTGATTGCAGAAATGTTATCCAACTGGAAATATACATATGAAAAAGAAATACGTATGGATTGTCGGACAAGGTGATCTCTCTTATCAGTTCTACCGAAAACTCAAAGTAAGTTGGCCACATAAGCCGCCTAACTCATCAGGTCCCCTTAACAAGCCACCCATCGGGACCCTTCTTACCTCTCTTCTTGCCGTTAAAGTGTTAAATTAAATGAGGTGAGGTGTATTCTGTGAAGATAGGTCATAACACATTAACATAATAAAATATGGGATGAAATTCCAAAGAAAAACATTCATATTAATGTGCATCCTTTAGCTATTAGCTCATATCAACATCGTCAATGTCACCAATTCATTAAGAGCACTATGTAAAGTCATCATCATGTCTTGCCCAATCCATTATCGATATCCAATTGAGCTATAGAACCAGTCGTGCCACTAAGCATGTCGCCTTACCTCTTTCTACCAAATTGAACTATTTTTCTCTTCTTAATGGTCAATGCAACAATAAATAGTTCGATCCTTAAAAATTCTGATTGATGTTATAATATGTGAATTTGTGGACCTGGACACAATAATGGCCCAAACTTTGACTCTATTTTAGTTGTGAATTGGGTTGAACCATCTAGTCAGACTACCTTGCTAAGTTGTCTAACGACATAATATGTTAGGAAGAAGTTGCCTGACAACTCATGCAAGGAGCCAATCTGATTTCCAATTTGCTGCCCAGAAGCTGCCTCCATCCAATTATCGCCCTTAAGTTGATGCTGTTGCTACTGCTATTCTGAGTGGTACTGATGTGAAACAAACAACAGGAATTAATAAGAAGGTTGTTTAAGCGATACAATTATAAGTTAATGTCTCACTAAGATCAGATTATCAATTTTCGCTGGTATTATTTGAAAAAAAAAACAATTTAATCATTTTCATCATTTTTTTAACCTGTGGAGGTCAACATTCGAATTATTTAAGTTTGGGTTAAAAATTCATTGGACTTCCGCTTTTTTGAGCACCGGGCGACTTACTCTGAAATCATGTTTCACGAGCGTCCCTTCTTCTCCTCTTTGCCCGGCCTTATTTTTTATTTACTGGTATTATTTCCTCTTCTTTGCAATTCTTTATTTAGTATTTGAAAGCCTATCAGTTTTATATCTTCCACTGCTGTCTCTTGGCAGGGTTATCCTTCTACACGTCTGAGAAAACCCTGCGGGCAGCGTTTGAGGGCTTCGGTGAGCTTGTTGAAGGTGGGCACATTGCTACTGTTGCTTCTGAAATTTACTAATTGAGCTTATTTTATTTAGTTTTTCTGATATTTTGGCTGTTGATAAATTTTCACAGTTAAGGTTATAATGGATAAAATATCGAAGAGGTCCAAAGGCTATGCTTTCATAGAGTATACAACAGAGGAGGCAGGGGGTGCAGCGCTCAGAGAGATGAATGGGAAGGTAAGCTAAGGCTTTGTTTGAGACGGCTTTCTAACGGCTTCTTAAAGCAACTTTGTAGTAAAAAATTAAAATTTTTGTACTATAAAGTTGCTTAGAAAACAATTCCAAACGAAGCCTAAGTTTCTCCTAGCTTATAGTATTGTATATCTTAAAGCTTTCTTTTTGAAAATTATGGTAATGCAATCCTTTCTGCAGATAATTAATGGCTGGATGATAGTCGTTGATGTTGCCAGAACGAACACAGCTGGATCTTTCAGGGGGAAGCAGCATGATCAAATGTCAGCGGTTTCGTCGAATCAAATCAATAGATGGAACTGAAATACTCCTCTTTAATCTACTAATGAAGGTAAGATGTGGATGAATATTGTTAGCCTGAATGATAAGAATGTTCTGTGGTTATATAAAGTTTTTTCAGCTTGGATTTTATGTGTTATGCAGCCAATCAGCAACATTAAGATTTCCTGAATAGTTGCAGAGGTCCTTAGAGAAGATCAATAGATCATCTCTTACAAGCAGTGATCAGTTACATTGAGCTCATTGTTTCACTTTTGTTTAGGTCATTGGGAGCCGGACTCTATACTTTGGAAGGAGACCTGAAGGGGCTTTAAAAAGCAGCTTTAATTTATTATGTGAACTTGCATATATAATATCATCAATTAGTTTGATGTGTAAATTACTTGAGCATTGTTTTCTGCACTAGGAGAGTTTAAAATTCTTCTTTTTGACTCTTAAGACACAATAGAAGAAAAAAATGATTCATGTAGCCGACCCCATGTAGTGCGATAAATATTGGATGTTATTGTTTTTCTGTGTTTTACATATCTAAAACCTGAATTTTGAGTATCATGTAATTTAATATCAAAATTTAGGTGTTAGATATGTATATAAGAATCGTGTTTAATTGCATTGCTCTTTTTACTCTCATCTTTTATTTTTATGTAGTCATGTTTGTACTAGCATTATTATTCAATCCAACAATGATGTACTGATAGGATGGCACTTGTATATAGGAGGGCTGTAGACCTTGCGTCTAGAGATTGGGAGAGAACGATCCTCCTCTAGAATAGAGGATCACACTTATCTTTCTTTTTGTGTGTGTTTTGTTTTGCTTCCTTAGTGCAATCTACTGTTTGGGATTGTTTTCGCCCAGATTTTGATTATTTTCTCACTGATTTCATCCAATTAGAAATAGGTTTGCTTGTGAACTCAAGTATTCCCTTAGGGTTACTTGCGAACTCAAGTATTTCCTATCATGTAATTTTTTTTTTCCCTTCTAATATGGCATCATAGCTTATCTTTAAGCTTGAGAATGCTTGTTCAAGAAAGTTATTAAAAATTTTTGGTTTTATAATCTTGTTGAGAGCGGTGTTGGTGTTAACAACATACAATATCTCTGTTATTGATGGTAGATGTTGATGTTATTGATGATGGTGGACATCAATATTGTTGGTGATGGCATGCAACAATTATTGACAATATGGACATTCACTTTATTAGCTTTGACATTAAAGTCGACAAAGTATCCATCTTTATTAGAGATGGTTGAATGTTGGTGTCAATGTTGATGTCAATGATGTTTATCTAAGCCGCATACAAAATTTTAGTAGGATATTAATATATTACTCAAATTGGGTACTTTCAGCATTAATTAGAAAGACGGGCATGGCAAATAAACCAATCAAATATAGTAATTTATCTTCAAAAATTGAGTGCTAAAATAGTTATTTTTACAAATAAATATTATAACATTATATTTATTTAAATTGCTTTATATTTCTTTAAATTGTTATAAGAACATTATAAATATAAAATTGTTTTTTAATTTTAATTTCTTTTTTATTTGTTAAGATTTTAGTTAGATGATTATGCATAATTTGTTGTGTTAACGTTTTACTTGAGAAAACTATTTTTTTCTTATTTATTTTAATTTTTATAACTTAGACGTGTTTATAAATTTAATTATATATAAACTTACGTTATAATGATATTTGTAAACATAATTCAAATAAATATTGGCACAACAATGAATGAAAAATATATATAAAAAAATCATTTTAATGAAAAACGTATTTACTGTTCACATTTTCCATTAAAACACAATTTTTTTTTGCGTTTCCAAACAAAACTCAATTTTGCAGCATATTTTTTTATCATTTTTAAATTAAATTTATAATGTTTTACTTCTCCTAAATACTACATCAAACCGACTCCTTTTAAAAATTTGCCCAAAAAAAAAAAAAATAGCGAAGAGCCGAGGCTCAGGTCACCGAACGTGTTCGGAGCCCAATGAAAATGCCCCACATCACCTCCTACTCAGTACTGAGCAGTAGCTCGATACTGCTCAATACTGCTCGGTACCGAACTCAGCACTTCACAGTACCGAGCTCAATACTATAAATACCGAACATAAACTGTGTTGGACCACCTTACCCAATAATTTTCCCTCCATGAGAAGTTTCCCACCGCTTAATTATGTTGTTTTTTTATTCCTTATCTACACTTCCAATCCCAATCAGAAAACAAGACAAGAGTCGTTACCGACATGATAGCCCATCTTCTCCAGAGTCGGCAAAACCACACCTTCAACCATTCCCGGCGGCCCACAGACCAACGCCAAACAGTCCTCATCTCCTCCCATCGGAATATTCTCCCTCAACACCCCCTCCGTCACCTTACTCACCACATACCAAACCTTAAATCTCTCCGGCTTCTCTCTCGCCCACCCATCCAACTCCTCCCTCATCAATACTTCATCCTCCGACCTACTCGCATACACCAAATGCATCATCTCCACCCCTTCCTCCTCCCTCATAACCGCCCTTATCACCTGATACACCGGCGTTATTCCCGTCCCGCCGGCGACCATCGCCACCCGCCTCGCGCGGCTTAACTTCTTTCCGTCAACAACAAAACTTCCTTTCCCGGCATATTCGATGCGCCCCACCGGACTCTTTATCTCCATCGCCGCGCCGAGCGGCAACGAGTCCAGATGCTGAGTCATAAGCCCGCCGGCGGGGAAGTTGGGGTTCTCCCCTTTAAAATATATTCTTATCATAAGCTCGAAATAGCCCGCCGCGTCTTCCGGACTCGTAGGCGTGTAAGCGCGCATACAGAGCTTGTGGTTAATTTTTGCGGAGAGCAAGATGTGTTTGCCCGTTGGCAGGCCGAGGAGTTGATGGGGCGAGGGGAGTGCGAAGCGGAAGAGACGGAGGTTGCGCGTAATGCTGGTTTTGGCGACGAGCGTGACGGGGATGTTTTCTCGCTGGTTTTTAAAGTCGCCGGCTGCGGCATTAGCGTCGGAAGTGACGACGAGGTGGCCGATGCAGTAGGTTTCGAGCATTGATTTGGCTTTGTCGGAGTGGATTGCGTCGAATTCTTCGGTGCAGTCGGAGCCGGCGTTGATCAGAATGCTGTCGGCGCCGCCGGGGTGGTCCTTGAGGAAAGGAGTGCAGTCGTGGACTTTGTCGTGGACGACGATCCAGGCGGAGCTGGAGGAGGAATGGGTACGGACCTCGGATATAGAGAACCCGGCGTTAGAGGTCGAGGACACGGAGACGGAGACGATCTTCTTAAGAGTCAGTTCTGTTGAGGAATTAGGATTTTCCCGACGGCGGCTCATCCATCCGCCGGGATTATTGCCGGGCTGGGTTGGGTGCTCGAAAGTTAGGGTTTTTGGGCCGTCCGACGGGCGGGAAACGGCCACCCGCACGCGAAACCAGCAATTGTTCATCATGCCCTGCGTTGCTCATACAGCCGATGTGAGATTAGTTAGTGCAGAAGTGTAATTAAGTGGGGGGTCAATGGTGGCTTACCATGAGATTCCATGTGGGGTTTTCCGGCTGGGTGTTGAGGGTTTGGTCCCAGGCACGGACGGCGATGTCTTCAGCGGAGAGCAGGCGGAGGGGGTCGATATCGAGGGACCAGAAACACCAGCACCAGTATTTGCCATACTTGTTGGGTTTTTCTGGGTGGTTGAGGGCGCAGATTTGCCAGGTCTCGCCGCCGTCGACGGTGATTTCCACTCTTGTGACCTTCCTTCCACCGCCTATACGATCATCCGCCAACAAATGTGATTATTAGATGATAATTATTTCTTATTGAAAAGGAAAGAGCTATATAAAAGTGATTATAAATATTTAGAATATAATTTTTAAGGATTTTTTGGTTGTAAAGATTTAAAGTACTCTAATTGTTTTGGTTGATCTTAAAAAAAAAAAAATTAAAGTACAATAAATTTAATTTAATTTTTTGAAATTAACATAAAATTTTTAAGAGATGGTGTTAAAGATAAGTACCACAATAAGGTAAAGAATGACAATCATAAGCAAGGACTGATTTAGCATGGCCCCCACTGGACTCTTAATGAATGCCTAATTAAGCTAGATACAATTTCAAAAAAAGGGGGTTTTGGTAATCCTTAATTAAGAAAATTTTTATTTTTTTTTTTATTTTTTTCCCGTCACGCTTCTTTTGCCGTTCCGCGCTTCTCCTAAATTTGCTTCCTTCTGCGGTTCCTTTGTCCCTTCTGTCGCTGTCAGTCGTGGTCGATGATCTTCGTGGAGAGTTTGGAGGAGGAGACACAGTCACTTGCTTCTTTTTATAAGGTATAGTTAATCATTTTTTTTTTGGAGAGTCTTTTGTATACAATACATTGTTTTTGCTTATTCGTACATATTGCTTTTGTGCCCCCACAATAAAAAAATCCTGACTTTGCCCATGATCGTAAGATTGTCAATGTTGTTGGATAGCTTCTAGGTGGTCGTTGGTGGGGCCAAAGATAGTGTAGAAACAATCATCTTGATATCAATCTTACGAAAAGCTATTCGTCCAGACAAAAAAGCCGGAAATCCGGACGAATACCGAGCGATACTGAGTGCTCGGTACCGAGCACCCAGGTGACTTGGCGCTCTGTTATTGGTCTTTGGACGCGTTCGATGTCCGGACACAATAATTACTCCAATCTTACCCCCTAAAAAATTAAAATCTTTATATTTCCAATGGATTATAAATTTATAATCCATTGCTACTACTAACAACCAATGAACCAAATAGGCGCATAGTTTCACCATTTGAAAAAAATTGTGCTAAGTGGAGTTTATTTATTGGTTATCACACGTGCGTACCCTCGTCACGCATGTGACTATATTAGTGATGACAATATGATAATGATTGCTACATAGCGATAGTTAGCCACTCCCAAGCTTTGTTAAATAATGGAAAATGTGGGCCTATTGCTATCCGGTGGAGTTCTATCCATACGTCATCGGGCTACCAAATCTATATTAGATTCCTTCAGGGCTTCGTGCTGGGAACACTTATATTAATTAATTTTTTGTAAGCCGTAATGAAAGATTATAAAGTATTTTTATGGTCAGAATGCAAAATATTTTAGGTTACTCGTCACTATTGAGCAGATGTCATGAGCTACAATAGTGGTGTCAAAATTTGATCCGATCTGAAATCTGATTTGGATCTAACCAGAAAAAGTTCGGGTTTGGGTCAACCAGTTTGCATTACGGGTCAGGTTCGGGCTCGAGTTTCTGACCTGTTTGCATAATCGGGTTGGGTTTGGGTTGACCCGAAAACCCAAAATCAACCTGTTTTAACCCAGGAAATTGAATCGTAATGCTAGCTATCAGTTTGTCACGACATGTCATGTCTCTTGGGCCAGTCGGCATTGTGTTGCCCAGTCGTGTTTGGCCATCGCGTTGTTAGTTGCCGCAATACAGGCTGCTCCGTGCCTTCGCGCTACCCCTTGGCCTCGCCAGTCGCCATGCTAGGTTCGTCGTTTCCCTCGACTACGCTAGCCGCTAGGTACTCTGCCTCGATTACACTAACCGCTATGTCCACCTCGGCTTCGCCATGCTCGGTGCTTCAACAGCTCCACTGCTAGGCCTCGGCCTCGGCTCGCGTCGCCTAGACTGCGCTCTGGTGCTAGCCGGGTAGGGTTCGACTATTTGACCCAACACATGCCGCTCAATTTCGCGGGTCAGGTTTTGGTTGACTAGTTTAGACACGGGTCAACTCGGGTTCGCCTGAAAGCTGGCCCGTTTTGATACCCCTAGGCTAGGAGGTACATTAAAAAAATAGTAATAAATTTACACAAAAGTTTTTAAGAAATTATGTATTTTTATAATTTTAGTAGATCTTTAAGCCAAGTAAATAATTGTGTCAATTGATAACTGGCCTGATAATTGACCAAAATTTGATCTGAAAATTTGAATTTAGTTGACTTGGGTGATTAGGTTTAGGTTGACCTGCAAATCTTTTTGAATATGATAATAACTTTTTTAAATTATGTTTTCCCTTATTTTTTTTTTACTTTTAGTATAATCTTACGTTTGATCAATTCACCTAAATATTATAGTTAACAAGTTATAATTTTTCAAAATCAAAATGATTATCAGGTCGGAATCAGGTCATTCAAGTTGTCGGAAAATTGGGTTTAGGTCTTCTTTTAGACATGTTTTTTAATTTAGTCAAGTTCGGATCTATTGTATTTAAATCAGGTTAGTTTCAAGTCAAACTAGCACCCGATCTTTTAACCCATTTTGACATACTTATTTTAAACTTTTTGGCAATAAAAAATTATAGAAGTAATTATCTTAATCATAAATTTTATTATCTTTCTCAAAAATAACTCAGATAATAAATAAATAAATAAATATATTCAAAATTTTTATACTGTATTTTCTTAGATATATTAACCGCAAAAAACAGCATCAAATACCGCTTACCGGAATAAGCGTAGCCTCTCAATGTATAAGCGTCCACTGAATGGATCTGAAGAACCTCGTCATGCCCCGGCGTTGTAATCACCGAATTTATGTTAAGCTCGTTTATAATATACTCCGGTTTATACCACCACCCTTCAAATCATTAATTAATCTCCTCATAATCAAGCTATGATTAGCATAAACAACATAATTAACAGTTAATTAATGGTACCTTCGGAATCAGCTAGCTCGGCATCAACGTGAGAAGGAAGAACCCGATTGTCCCTGTAATGGTAATAGCTCTCCGACTCCTTCGTGGTGACGATAATCCTTTTGAGCCACTTAACCATTCTTCCTCCTATGAAGCCGGGCATGATCATCCGAACAGGGAAGCCATGATCGGGCTTCAGAAGCTCCTCGTTCTGCATATAAGCGATCATAATATCCCTGCTCGGATCCATGGCCACTTCCTTGCTCAAACTAGTGCCGTATTTGCCGCCGGGAAGGTCCTCGGCGCCTTCAAAACAAACGTTGAGGGCGCCGTCGCGAGTCCTCATGATTCCGCAGCGTTTCAACACGTCGCGCAAACGAACGCCGCGCCAGAGCGAGGTGGAGATGGCGGCGGGGCCCCAATTGAAGCCGATGGTTTGGCGAAGCATGTTCTGTTCCTTGCGGCGGTTGCCGGCGCAGACTAGAGTGACGGGGATTTGGAAAGAGGGGAAATCGAGGAGGAGGGAGTCCATGGAGAGGCGGCAGGGGCGGCGGACGAGGCCGGAGATGTCGATGGACCAGGAGGACCAAGCGGTTTGGGGGACGGGGCCGTGGTTGCGGACGTAGTGGATGGGAACAGGGGTGAGGAAGCCGTGGGACATGAGGAGGGAGAGCGGGGGTTCGGAGTTGAAAGGGTGTTTGCCGGTGAGACGGATGAGGGAAGGGTGGCGGGGGATCCAGTTGTCGGAGGTGTTGGAGTCGCGGGGGTCGATGGAGGCGGGTTCGGGCATGGGGGTGTAGTAATTGGATCGGTCATCGTCTTCAACTTCATCGTCGTCGTCGTCGGAGGAGGAGGAGAGGGGATGGGAGTTGGAAGGGGAGGTGGTGAGAGGGGAGAGGGAAGTGGAGAAAGGGGAGGAGTGGCGGCGGCCTACAAAGGCCGCCATGGGATTTAAATTGGGCTGTTTCAGGCTGTGAAGAGGGCGAGAGAGAGGCGGAGGGAGAATAAAAGCGATTGATGGAAGGAAAGGAGGAGATTAGTCCGTTGGATTTTTGGATTTGCGGCCTGCTGCTGCCATTGCCTGCTGCTACTTATACCTCAGTGGTTTGGAGCTTTTGAACAATAAATTAATTGAAGACCGAATTGGCAATCAAATAGTATTATATATTGACAAACAATTAACAATATTTTTTTGCCAAATTCAAATCTTGCAGAGTAGGACAAATTGCAACAATTATTACGTCCTCTGACCATACGTAGAGTTACATTCGGCCGTCAATAACATGTCGCCACGTGCTCTTACTCTCTACCGCGCGGCACGACGACTTGACCCGGACCGGAACCCGGGAATGCTATATTCGTGTATTGTGAGGTATTACTCGGTATTGCTCGACATTGCTAGGTATTGCATGGCAATAACGAGAAATACCTCTCCATGAAGATCAATACCGAGCAAATACCGAGTTATACCGAGTTTTTCTAGAAAAACTCGGTACAACTCGGTATTACTCGGTATTTGCTCGATAGTGGTTATTGCCGAGCAAAATCGATCAATACCTAGCAATACTATGTAATACCGAGCAATACCTAGCAAAATCGAGAAATAACGAGCCATCCTGGGTCCGTTCCGGGTCGGGTTGTCGGGAGGCGCGGTAAATAGAGAGAACGCGTTGCGCGATTCTATTGGCGGCCGAACATAGAGCTACGTCCTGTGACCGGACCAAATAAAAGTTCGATGAATTGACATTCAATAAATATTGTATATTGAAAAATGAATATAATAATATTTGAATAATTATGTACATACGCCCTACGAAAATTAATCAAAATGCGTCACGTCATTCACTTCACTTGATATCGCGGCTGGTATCACTGACGTGGCAAATTCTGGTCAGTCTCCGGATGACGTTCTGCAGTAATATTCGAAGGTGTTTTTCTCGCATTGCATTGAACAAAATATCTATGTTTTGATCTCTTTGAAAAAAAAAAATCTATGTATCCAGTAACAAATTTTATGAATTTTTTTGCCTTAAGTAAAATATATTTTAAGAGAGATTTTTTTTTTTATTCTATGAGGTAGTAAAAAGAGAAAATATCACATAAAAAGGAGAAAGATTTATAGTTGTTAAATTGGTAGACCTAAATCCATTGTCAAGATGAGGATGAACATGCATCCAATATATAAAAAATTAGAGTACAATTGAGTGATTACAAATTATTTGTAGATCTCTTTCAACATCATCAAGCGAAGAAGAGAAGATAACATATAATTACAAGGAGATGATACGTCTAGAAAAAAAACTTCAAATTTTATATAATTATATGATATGGGAAGTACAACCATACATATGGCGTTCTATGACAGATTGAGAAAGACTAGAAAGAATCCTTTGATAACACTTGGAGGAGATGATTGCTTGATGAATATTTGAGAGTTGGTGGGTGAATAGATTGAGTAGCATCAACGACTCTTAAATAATGACTCAATGATGAGGCATCTATATTTAAACATTGTGCTTTGTTTTGTAAGTTTATAATAATGACATATTAGTAGGATACAATGATGATGTCAATTAGATTGTGTCATTGTATTGTTGGGATTTAGGATGACTGATCAATATCCTTTTAGGTGCAAGGGAGTAAAAATTATGAGATCTTAGGCAGAGTTGATGATGTCTTGGTATAACATCAAATTCTTATTCACAAATCTATTATTTAGCATGGTCAGTGGTGCATCACAATGATTATGCTTTACATATGTTGATAAATACACAAATATTATGAGATTTTGTCATAAATTCTTCTAAAACATATATTCAAGAAAGATTTGAAGATTAAAAAATATTCAACATAAAAAATGTGCTCATCAAGAAGAGAGAGAGAGAGAGAGAGAGAGAGAGAGAGGGAGAGAGAGTGGTTCAAAAGATACGCTGAGAGGATTTTGGAGCGGCCATTTGATAGGGTGAAGACTACTTGATTGGAATTTCATTGAGAAATTCCTAAGGAGGGCATCCAAGAATGACTCGTATGAGAAATTCTATAGATGTTTCATAAGAAAGGCTCTTAAAACACATCGATTTTCTTGATCTATGGTTGAAGTGGCATTTCATGCCAATATTTGATCTTATCTTGTTACAACTATAACAAAAACATAGATGTGGGAGATCTTATCAAAATTTAAATAGTCTTTTAGATTTACAACTATGAATAAAATTGATACAACTCAAACATAGATTCATGCTCTGTGATTATAAAAACTTAAGATAGAGATGATTATCAAGTAATTTCTAAAAAAAATAGTGGAGGTTGACTCCCTAAGGAAGTCACTAAGAGAAAGTTCTCAAAGGAGGCACCAAGAAGGTGATGTCTACCCAGAATGACAAAAAGGAAGGAGTTGTTGCCTAAGAGAAGTTGCCAATAACAAAGCTATTGGGAGGAATTGCTAAGAAGTGTAACTCAATAAAAAAGGAATATGCCAATCAAAAGGCTCGTTAGAATAGAAGAAATCAACCTTGTTAAGGAAGTCGTCAAGAGTGTAGAACTCTTGAAAATTCATTAGAAAGGAATGAGTTATTATGATATGCATTAAACATAGAGATACTTTTTGAGATAGAAAGATATGTGCTAGAGGGTAACAATAATAACTCGTCGAGAATGAGAGAGTTTGATGGTGGTAGGGGGCCTTTTAATGAGGTTAGTGGTTATAAATGCTTGTGGAAGTTTATTTTATTTTGAGAGGATAAGATATGATGTTTGTTGTAGGAAGGTGAGACTGTTAAAGGATTATTATGGAAGAAAGATCATGATTGTCCCAAATTTGGTTAATTTGTAAGCACTCGTTATAGGAATGAGTATAAAGTGTATGAATGGACAAAATCGATGATGAAGTGTTAGTTTAGGATGTTAAATTGTGATTTGGGATAATTAATAGAGTTTTATAGTGTTCACGGTCTCACGGACTTATACTTTTATGGAGAATAAGACTGATAGTTATCCATCTAGTATTGGTTAGAGCCAAAGAAAGAGTTTAGAATATCATTGAAGGTTTGGATGTGAATGGCTGAGCCTAAAAGAGGGTTAAGATGTGGAGCGATGTGTGAGGATGATATTGAAGAGGTTTTAAAAAAAGGTAGGAAGCACTTACAAGATAAGTAATTAATCCTACTAAAGAAAGTTAAAGCTAGGCCACCAAAACCTAACATAAGAAAAAATAAGAAATTTTCTTAAATAAAATTTCTCATTAAAAAATTAAACATTTTCATCATATACCACTACTATTTATAGAGTTATAATAACAACTATTATTTAAAATAAGAAAAAAATTTGAGAGAGAATTGATATTAGTGGTGATTAATGGTGGTAAGTGAATCTCATCCATTAATTCATTTTATCTTACACATTCATTATGCGGCTAGCTTATATATAGATATTCTCTAAAATAAAAATTCAATTTTTTAGATCCTAACTTTAAAATTTAGATTTTTTTTTTTTTTGGGACAGGGAGTGTCAGCCTTCGGCCACTAATCTCCCCGGTCGACCTACCGGACAACCCACCCCATACTCATCCGGGCCAACACTTAAGGCTTTGCACGAATTGCCATGGGATTCGAACTTGGTACCTGGCCCCAGCTCTTCACCACCAAGACAACCCGTGGTGGGTAAAATTTAGAATATTAAATCAAAACATTTAATTACTTCTCCTTGAGTGGTTATAATGATGGAGTCAAAAGGATTCAATGTATGCGAGTACTCAACATCAAATATGGTGATTGCAATTTGATAAATTGTGAGTTGAGGCAGCATGTCATTCTCTTAAGAAGATTCACTTGAGGTTTATTATCTTAAAGCTTTAGCCTATTTTCCACTAAAAATCATTAGAATATTTTTCAAAATATGAAACACATATAAAATTAATCGTATTGTTCTTTGTTAATGATTTATTAAGGCATCATCTTGGTTTCAAAAGGATGACAAATTTCAGGTTTGAAGTGCTTATCAATTCATCAATGAACTTCTTGAATGACTTGTATGATTTGTGGCTTTTTGTGTTGATCCTAAGTTTATTTTTGGGATTCCTTTGAGGATCTACAATGAAAGACTTAGAAGTCAAAGTTATATTATTATATACATCCGCTTCAATTTGACTATTGTTTAAATTTAATACTTCCATCCATATTTTTGGTTGTTGTTGTTGTAAGAGCCTTTATTTTGATCCAAATAAATACTTTTTTTAGGAGTCATTATAAATCATATTTTAAAATCATCATTCATAAGATAGATATTATTGTATTTTAATTACATTTTTTTTTCATAATTTTTGGGCAATGGTGAAAATCTTTAAGAAATTGACACCTGAAATCATATAAAATAACATAATTAGTATGAAAGCCTAACAAATAATCAAAACCAGCTTCAATGCAAGACAAAAGAATCTATATGCATACTCTAGTGATTGTCAATATCAATAAACTAATATAATTAGTAAAGCCAAAGAGGTATATGATACTATAATACAAATTGGTACATGGCTCCATCAATATGTTGTGTTAGTATGTTATGTTATGTTTTATAAATATCGATGTTGGTTCAAGCACTTTCATATCAGTTGTATCTATCAAAACAACTCAATGCATTATCATGTAAATACAATCATGAATGTGATTATGAAAAGAAAGATAAGACATTTTGCTTTAGTGTTTTATTTTTATTCTTTCAACATAATTGTCTACTAGTTAGTCGTAAGTTTTAATTTAACCCCAATTGTCAACCAACCGGTCATTGATCTTTATCTTATCATTATTGTTCATAATCTTAAGTCAATTCACATACGGCTTCTAATAAAATTTTAAGAGTCTTCACTCTATATACATCGTGTAATCAATAAATTGATTACATACTATAATCACAATCACACCACTATTTTATTTTAAGGAAAACTCGTCAGCCTAACCTCATGTGTAGGGTATTATATTTTAAAATAAACTCATATTAATTATATTGTTAACATCCAATCTTTCTTGTTTGCATGCAAATGTCACATTTATCTCATATATCAATTATATCATTTTCTTTATACAATACAATATTACGTATGAAATGC